GCTGAGGGAGCGGGCACTGTCGGAGGGTCAGTGCTGAGGGAGTGAGCACTGTCGGAGGTGCTGCCTCTTTAATGAGGCACTTACTCAGTGCCCTGAATGACCTTTTGGATGTGTCTGAGACCTCCTTGTAACTACTTTGAGGAAGTGTGGTCCTCTTTTCCTCATGTTCTGGCCAATATTTACCTCCCAAGCAATCGCTAAAAGACAATTCTGGTCATGTTCATGTTCATGTCTATAAATTTGCTATTAGCTGAATTTCTCTGTTATAGTAGTTCAAAAATACTTAAATAACATAAATTGCTGTGAACACTCTAAAGCTGTCAAAAGGTGCTGAAAATTGCCACGACCATTTTTTAAACACATTCTTTTCAGCAGGTGCTGACAGCTGGCCGTTTAAACTGGGAGACTAACATAGCAAGAATGGTTGGTGGGAGTGAGAAAGCACAGAAGGTGACACCAGTAAGAGGCAGCATTTTTGGTGTAGGTGGAGGAAATACTGTGCTGCTTTAGGGAAGCTTGATCAACTTTTTTGGTAAATGTAGAAATTTTCTGTTGTTAGCCTAGTAAAACTCTGCAGGTACTTACACAGCATATTAAACAGGATGTAACATGAGACACATGAGGTGGTGTATGGGCAGGTCACCAAGAGCTTTATTGAAAAGTTAGGAACATTTAAGGAACATTTTAAAGATAGGGAGAGATGCTCAGGGATTTGGGATTGGGAGTTATTGAATTTAGGACACAAGCAGTGGAAGGCACCATGGCTGCTAATGGTGGAGCAATTAAGAACAAATAACAATATGGCACAGGAACAGGTCCTTCGGTCCTCCAAGCCTGTGTCGACATATTTTGCCTTTCCATACTAAGACTGTCTTCACTTACAGGATCTGTATCCCTGTATTCCCTTCCTATTAAAATAAGGACACTTAAAAATGCAAGAGGCACAGAGACTTTGGAAGATTATGGAGAGATGGGATTACAGAGGGAACGAGATGGCCCTAGATGGATTTGAAAGAAAGGATGATAATTTTAACATATGTGTTGCAAGACTGGGAGCCATTGTAAATTGTGAACACAGGGGTGATGGGTGAACAGGATGTGGTGTGAATTGGGATTTGAGTGGTTTAGAGCAACAGAGTGTATACTGAGGTTACAGAGGGTGGAAATGGGTGACAGGCCAGAAGAGATGTGTGAGAGCATCAGGGCTCACTGGGTGTGCTTGTTTCTCTAGGTTGGTGGTGTATATTCCAGCAGCTAAGGCTCCCCAAGATGGTGCAACACCGGAGCTTTCTCCTCTGCACTTGCTGTAAGGACAGTCACTACGCTTCTGCAGATCTCCACAAATTTGACTACTTGCAGCCTGACTCTGAAGCCGAAGACATTGACGGGTGCTACACACCCCAGCAGCGGGCAACTGTCCTGAGGGTGCTGAACACAGCTTCCCGCGAGGAGCTGGCAGGAATCAAGCTACTGCGAGGCAGAAAGTCGGCCAATATTGTGGAGTACAGAGCTGGACATGGACCATTCACCAACCTGCAGACTCTGTTGGAAGTGCCACTGTTCAAACACAAGACTATAATGAAGGTGTGTCAGTCAATCCTGAACCCTTGTCAGGAGTCTGGGAAAAAAGAGAAGAAACTCCAGGGTTTGAAATTTGTCAAACCTGATGTAGAACGAAAGCGACTTCTGGTAAGGGCCTGAAGTAAACTACTAAGAACGATATACAGTCAGTAAACTGGATATATGATCAGAATAATGGGCATGCAGTCTGTAAAGTATATTCTTTATTCATTCATGGGTGAGGGCATCGCTGACTAGGCAGCATTTATTGCCCATCCCTAATTGCCTAGAGGGCAGTTCAGAGTCAACCACATTGCTGTGGGTCTGGAGTCACATGTAGGCAAGACCAGGTAAGCACGGCAGTTTCCTTCCCTAAAGGACATTAGTGAACCAGATGGGTTTTTCCAACAATCGACAATGGATTCACAGTCATCATTAGATCCTTAATTCCAGATATTTTATGAAGTCAAATTCCATCATCTGCCATGGTGGGATTTGAACCCAGGTCCCCAAAACTTTATCTGGTCTCTGGATTAACAGTCCAACAATAATACCACTAGGCCATTGCCTCACCCTCTGTGTAGAATCAGTATAATGGCTCTGCAGTCAGTAAAATAGATATATGATCTGTATCGTGGGTTTCCAGTGAGTAAAATGGATATACAATCTGTATACTGGATAGGCAGTCAGTATACTAGATATACGATTCATGTAATGGATATACAATTGGTAAATTGATATTCTCAAACTCCTGATCCTCTGACCCTGAGCTGCAGATGACACTGATGGATGTGTCCAATTGCAGTGTGGTTGATATGGACCATTTCTGATACACAGTTTATGAGGGTAGTAGTTTATATTGTAGGGCTGCTACCTGTCATTGGTACAAAAGGATGGTGATGCTGTAGTGGTGTTATTTAACAGGTCATCTAGGACCCCAGGTTAACATTCTGGGGTCATGGATTCAAGGTGGTGAAGTTAGTGTTCAATAAAAAAAGTCTGTAATAAGAACGTATCCCATTGGCAACCATCTGTTTCACTATTGTGCTTTAGGGCAGGAAATCTGCCATCTTTAGCTGGTCTGACCTGCATCTGACTCCAGACCCACGGCAGTGTGACAAATTCTTTGGGCAGTTAGGAATGGGCAAATAATGAACAGACAAAAAATAAAACATGTGACAGTAGAAATTAAGGTTTAATCGGAAATGTACTCGAATGTAATTTGAATGTACAAATGTGATGGCTGGTCACTCCTGCTGGATCTGAGACATTTTTCCTTCGTATGTTTATGCTGTTTCCAGAATGGAGTTAGTGAGCCGAATGCTGCAAGTCAGTAATATCTGGGTTACCACAGAAATAATCTTTATTTTAGAATATTGTGGGCAGGGGGTTGTATACTCTGACTGGGGAGAAGGGGTTTTACCCAAGTATACCCTTTCTGTTTTTCACAAGGCAGCGAAAAGTATCGTGTCAGTCGTGTTTGGAATCCGTAAGATTGCGTGGGCTCACGTGGATCGGAATCTGACTGTCCTGAACTGGAACCAGGAGACAAGTCATCGGTACATGAAAGGCCCGTACCTGCCCTCCATCTACCTTGAGGAGGCAAGTGAGCTTGGCAGGTTTCTCTCTGCACTCTTCTGGGCTTCCATTGCACTCACCCAGGGAAAAGTGGGTAATTGCATTACCTCCCAAGGCTTGTATTGTCTGTCAAAGATCAAAGGTGTTTGAGATAATTCAATGTGATGGTGGCACGGTGGTTAGCACTGCTGCCTCCCAGCACCAAGGATCTGGGTTCAATTCCAGCCTTGGGTCACTGTCTGTGTGGAGTTTGCACATTCTCCCCGTGTCTGTGTGGATTTCCTCCAGGTGGTCTGGTTTCCTCCCACAGTCCAGAGATTTGCAGGTTAGGTGGATTGGCCATGCTAAATTGCCCATTGTGTCCAGGAATGCGCAGGCTAGGTGGGTTAGCCATGGGAAATACCAGGTTACAGGGATTTGGCAAGGCGGGGGTCTGGTTGGGATGCTCTTCAGAGGGTCAATGTGGATTTGCTGGGGCAAATGGCCTGCTTTCACACTGTAGGGATTCTGTGATAGTATCGCGCTATTTCCTGTGATGGGGTTCAAGCTGAGAACTCTTATGAATAAATTCCCAGACATTTCATCAGTTTTGTTTTTTACTCTTTTGCGAGGTGTGGGTGTTGCTGGCTTGGCAAGCATTTGTTACCCATCCAAAATTGCCCGGCCATGCCAGGCTACTTCAGAAACAACCAGCTCATGTCAGCCAGACCAGCAAGGGTCAAAGACCTCCTTCTCTATTGGACACTAGTGGACCAGATGGACTTTGAGCAATTGGTGTGGTCTGCGCCACTGAGTCTAACTTTCATTTCTAATTGCACCAATGACTGTGATAGGATTTGAACTCATGTACCCAGAATATTAGATTCAGCCTCTGGATGGACTAGTCCAGTGAGAAATTAGGGATGGGTAACAAACGCTGGCCCAGTCAGTGACATCCATGCCCCACAAAAGTATAAAGACCATTGCTCCACTGTCTTTTGCATAATATCCTCCTCCAGCCTAAGCAGCAAATAAAACAGTCTTATTCACCATTGCCCATATTTAAAAACATTTTTAACCAATTTGTTCAGACATGCTATGTCATACCTCTGGGCAAGTGGGATGTGAACACAGATGTTCTGGTCCAAAGATAGGGATACCAACACTGGACCAAGTGAGACCTTCACCAGAATTTTTATTATGAGAGAATACATAATTTGAAAAGAATGAGGCAAATACCTTTATTTCCTTTACGTTTACATTTCCTTTATGGTTGGCTGGGGAAGGGTGTGGGGTTGCATGTAGGCAATTGATCTTCCATTTCTGGAGGGTTGGTAAGTGGTGGGGAATTTGGAACAAGAGGGACTTATCTTTAAAATCAGAGTTCATTCATTCATGGAGGATATAACAAAGCATTCACTTACACAAGGGGCACTGGAAAACTGGAACTGGCTCCCCCAAACACATGAGGCTAGAGGGTGTGAATTAAAATGTCAAAGCCGAGGTTGATAAGACTTTTGCTTTTGGGTTAAGGGTGACCAAAGCCAAACAGGTTAATGGAGTAATGCTGCATTTCAACGGAACAAGCTGGAAGGGCTGATTGGCCACTTCCTGTTCAGATGAAACACGATAGATCTGAAAGTTGGAGCAGGATGGGGTATGCTGCCTTGTGGAGAAACGTTCTGCTCAAAGAGTCTCCCTTGGTGATCTGGTATCAGCTGCTGCTCTCCAGCAGATCACAGCAGCTTAGAAGCAGGAAAACAGGCCACCTGTTTCACTACCCCAAATAGTCCTAAAGTCCACAGAAGATATGAGTAGATCAGCAGTGGGCACAGGTTAAACTGGTGGGAGAGTCAGGAATCCTGTTTCTGACCCTCTGTTTGTTGTCCTCTGTTTCTCATTGTCTGTTTCTGCTCTGATTTGCAGTAATAGCCAACAGATCCAAAGGTAGTACAAGGGAAATGTATTTTTCCCCAATATGTTGTCACAATCTGGAATGCATTGCCTGAAACGGCTGTGGAAGATTTAGCAATAACCTTCAGATGGTATTTGTTAAATACTTTAAAGGGAAGGAGTTTGCAGGACCATTGGGCAAGACCAGGATGTGTGCTAGCTCTTTCAGAGTATGAGTCCAGATTCCTAGAAAATTCCAGTGTTCTTTCTTACTTTTCCATTGATTTGCAGATCTCCTCGGCCATCTCAAAAATCCCCAAAGCAGATTTCTTCATCTTGGAGAAGCCCAGCATCTCAGTCCAGAACACCAACCTGTTCCCTGTGACTCTACACTTGCGCACCATCGAGGCTATGCTACACGGGCTGCTGGGGGGGACCTTCCTGGAGGATGGTCAGCATAAGGTGCTGAGCATGGTGCGCACGGCTGTCGGGAAGCACTTTGAGTTAATGGTGGGGGATTCCCGGACGAGTGGCAGGGAACTGGTGCAGCAGCTCATGGTCGACTCAGTGACGCAGGAACACCCTCGGGTGCTGTTCCCTCAGGATGCATTGGCCCGCTACAGGAGACTATTTCAGAAGGGAAATGCAGATCGGGGAGAAGAAATGTGTGATGCTTTGCTGCAGGCTGTTGCTTTCTATGAATTTCTGTTTAACAATTCCTAAAAATCTCATGATGATTAAAGAAGGACTCCATTTTACTCATACAGACATCTTGATTAGTGCCAATCTTGGTCAGGATGGACAAAGAAGAAAATGTCTATTAAAGTTTCTCCTTGTTCCCACTCCTCTCTGTCTCATTGCCATGTGGTTTATTAGTCACCCTTTGATACCTTGCCCATGTAGCCTTAGAGCACTTGTATTCTTCCTAGTGGTCTAGTCAATACTTATCCCTCATCAGCATCAAAGAAGAAACAATTTGGTAAATGTCACATTGCTGTTTGTGGGAGGTTTGCTGTCAGCAAATTGACTCAATGTTTTCTATACTGCAAAAGTACCCACCCTTCAGAAATACTTTTTTGACTCTTTAAGTGCTGTAGAAATGCAAGTTCTTTTCTTGTGTATAAACCCTGACTGAAAATGTTGGATTGATTATTCAACTGAACTAAGCTTCATGGTTGAGCGATAGCCTGATGCCTATTCAAACACTTCGCTCCTCCACACTGTCCTGAATCCAAGATGTGGAGGTGCTGGTGTTGGACTGGGGTGGACAAGGTCAAAAGTCTCACAACACCATGTTATAGTCCAACAGGTTTATTTGAAAACTCAAGCTTTCAGCAGCTTGCTGCTCTTTCAGATGTGTTTTTTGTCCTTTATTCATTAATGGGAGGAGGACGTCAGTGGCTAGGCAGCATTTATTGTCCATTCCTAATTGCCCAGAGGGCAGTTCAGAGTCAACCACGTTGCTGTGGATCTACTCCAGACCATGTAGGCCAGACCAGGTAAGGATGGCAGTTTCCTTCCCTTAAGGACACTAGTAAACCAGATGGGTTTTTCCTGACAATTGACAACAGATTCGTGGTCATCATTAGATTCTTAATTGCAGATTTTTTTTTAATATTGAATTCAAGTTCCACCATCTGCCGTGGCAGGATTCGAACCTAGGTCCCCAGAACGTTATCCAGGTCTCTGGATTAACAGTCCAGCGATAATACCACTAGGCCATTGCCAACCTGAAGAAGGAGCGAGATTCTAAAAGCTTGTGCTTTTAAATAAACCTGTTGGACTATAATCTGGTGTCCTGAATCCAAGAGCATTGATTGTAACTCATTAGCAGAGGGCATTTAGTAGAGACTTGAGTGGATTGCAGGCAGCAATCAGCAATAATATCAATTTAAAATATAAACAGAAAATGCTGGAAATAGGAGTTAATGTTTCAGACTGATAACCTTCAGAACTGACTTGAATAGTTAATTTTGTTTCTGTCTCCACAGATGCTGTCTGATCTGCTGAGCTTTTGCTGTTTTTAATTTCAGATTTCTAACATTTACATTTGGCTTTAGTGTTAGTAACTTCAACCCATTGCTTGGAGACTGCTGCAGTTTTTGCTCTGTCCAACACTTCACATCTGTCTTAGTAACATCAGAGCCAGTAGTGTTCCCTTGAAACATCTTTGAAGAAAGAATAGACCTACATTTAAATAGTGCCTTTCACGACTTCAGTGTAGTGATTGTTGTAATGTACGAAACATCACTGCCACTTTCTGCAAGGCAAGCTCTCACACAGAGCAATGTGATAATGATCAGGTACTGTCTTTTAATGCTGCTGTTTAAAGGATAAATATTGATCCCAGGACATTGGAGCTAATCCTCTATTATTGTTTGAAAAATGGCATGGGATCTAATACATCAAACTCAAAGCGTAGATGTGCCCTTCCCTGACAGTGCAACTCTCCTTCAGAATAGTTTAGCTTATTAGGCTAGACCAGGATCTCCAGATCATACGTTTTTCAGCCTGGAGCGGAAGTCAAACCCATGCATATTTTTACTCGGCTGAGTATTACTGAGCCATGATGTGTGTGTGTGTGTGTGAAGACTGAGATCAGGTAATATTCTAGGTCAGTACATAAGTTTCTCACTGGGAGGGAGGGTCACACAGGGCTTCACAAAGTCATCAAAGACTATTTATGTTTATGAATTTGGTGGTTGTCTTCTAAGATTCAGTTTGATTTAAGCATTTTTGTGCCTTTTCAGTGTCCAATGATGGAAAATGTATGAGCTTATTTAGTTGAGGAGCTGCTCCTTTAACTGGATTTTATGCAGCTAGATTCTAACTAGATTTCAATCACCCAGCTGATGATTCTTTTGTGCACAAACTGTGTACTATCTTGTTTAAGTTAATATTAAATTGTTTTTATGGTTGATCCACCCTGACTTTTGAACACTCATCATTGGCTGTTAAGTGCTTTGGGGTGAAAGGCATTACAAAGTCCTTTCTTTTAAAGTCTAATAATTGTAAAGCTAGAGTGTTGCACATTTCTTATGGTACATGTAGTTATTTATTATTAAATTGTTTGAATTGCTTGTCTTTTTTAATGAATGGATTGTGTTTTTGTTTGAGACTAGCAATATTGGTGAATCCTAGCATGCGTTGTGACTATTAATACATTTTAACAATTTGTTTTTAAACTGAGGAGTTGCTCGATCAACATCAGGGTGTAAACAGGAGGACCTGGATTTGTCCCCACTTGGTGAGTTTATAATCTCCAGAGTCATTGGTTGACCAGGACAAAAGTCTTTCCACTCTCTCAAAATAGCTTCTAATTGTGGGCTTAGATAGTTGTTGATTGCGATATAGTTTCGATCGTACAGCTGCCCGAAGCAGGGTATGAAATAACAAGGAACGGACTTCCACCTAGACAGTTTCTTGAAATTGCTGATCAGCCAGGATCAAAATGAATCATAGAGTAGGCTTTAAGAGGGCAAATGGCCTACTCCTGCTCCTAATTTATGTTTTCGAAACACTTTACAGTCAATGGAGTACTTCTGAAGTGTATGTAGTCACTTAAAAAGTAGGAAATGTTGCAGCAAATTTACATGTAGTAAGCTCCTACACTCAGTAATGAGAATGTTTCAGTGATTTGTTAGAATGTACGTCACCATTCAGACCAACTAGTCTAGGCTAATTTGTTGTCTTCATCTCATCCCATCAGCACAACACAACATTATTCATTATATTTATCCAGTTTCCCTTAAATGGATCCACACTATTCACTTCACCTATTCCCTTGTGGTAGCAAATTCCGCTGCATTTAAAGACATTTCTCTCAAGCTTCCCATTAGATTTATTAGTGACCACCTTGGATTATTTACAATCTATAGTTTGGTTTTCACAAAACAGGACCTTGTCTACCCTAAAAAATCTTTCCAAAATCTTAAATGAAAAATATCACCCTCCATCATCTTTCCAGAGAAGTCCAACCTGTTTAATTCTTTATGATAGCTATAATCTCAGTTTTGGCATAATGCTTGTACCTCCTCCAGTGCCTCTTTTATAACATGGAGAGCACACTGCAAATGACATATGGTAGACTTGCCATAGTTTCTGTTTACCTCACATCAACTTCAATATGTTTTCCTTGGAGCAGGGGAGACAGAGGGGAAATACTGGACATAGATAGGATGGACAGGAAGGAACTGATGGAGGAAATCAGTTACCGGGGCAATAGATTTAAGGGAAGGGGTAGGAGATTTAGAGGAGAGGAGATGAAGTTGTGTGTTCATCCAGAGGGTGGTAGGAAACTGGAACTCTCTGCCTGTAAAGGTAGCAGAGGCAGAAATCCTCATCAGAGTTTAGTATTTAGATGGGCACTTACAATGCCAAGGCATACAAGTATATGGATCAAAATTGTCTATGCCAGTCAAAAACAAGCATCTAACTATGTGCTAAAGAAGGCTTTTCAGTGCTGTAGATTTGTGACTCAGAATAAATTCAGAGAAATTGCGGTGTGATACATGCCACCAGTGTTCCTCGTAGCAGTGGTTTAGTCATTCACAGTTCCCATTTGAATGGAACAAATACAGTTTGAGATACTAAGCAAAGCAGCCAAAACCAAATCTATAGTTGGCAGTTAATTCAGTACTAAATTTAAAGAGGTTTATTCTCAAGAATAAAGTCTATCAATTGGCTTGTGATGGTTCCAATTTGACATAAGACCTCCAAAATCACTACGAAGAAACTTTAAAAATCTAGTTTGTTCAAGGATTCTACCCAAATCCCTGAGTGTTATCAGAGCACCATAATGCCTCCAATGACAGTTGTTTCAGAATGGAATGGACAGTGATAAGGTCAACTTTCTACAACATAGCCATTTCCCTGGTGCCAGGATTCACAACTGACTAGTTATAGTCACAAACTCTGACTTGTTAATCTTCTGGGGTTGTGCTTGCTCCACAATCACATATTCCACACTGGGTAGAGTCATACAGCATATAAATAGGCCTTCCAACCGACCACAGCTATGAAGAGAATCTTAACTGCTTCCAGATTTCTTTTGTTTTTTTTTGCCGGGGGGTGGGGAGAGCATGGAGTGGCAGGTAGAGTGGCAACATAGACAGGTTGCCTCAAGTATGAAACAGCAAGGGAAAACACCATCACGATTCTTATAAAGCCAAACCCTCACCTGTGAAAGACTGTGAAGTTATTTTTGCTTACCTGCTTGTTGGATTAAGGCAGGCAATTTACAAATCTCTTTCAGGATTAAAAAGTCAAAGCATAACAGACAAGTTCATATGGTAATGCTTCAATTTAAAAACTTCTGTACACAATATTGGAGATTGCCGGTTACCAGCATTTCTTCGATTTATTTTATTCCATATCCTACGGCAAAATAGGGTATACAGTCACACTATGCAATACAAGGGTACACCATCCTTCGTAAGATTCATGTAATATAAAATTGTAACAATAAAAAGCTTTAGTGGAACACAGGATGGATTATAGCCATTCATGATTTATGACAACATTCACCTCAGTATCCTAATGAGGCTGTCACACTCCACAGCTGGGCAGTTACAAGTTGCTTTGGGTCAGCCATTTGCCACCAAGACACTTATCTGATCTCACTGTTGTCTGAAACTGGTCATCTTTATAACACTCATGGAAGATTTATAAACCAAGATATGCATCTTTGGATCAAAAATATTGCGAGGCATAGAACAGAAGGAAGGAAGGGAAAATCAAAACTGTTTATGTAGTTAAAATACTTTCATCAGCCTGATCTGGGAGAGGGGAGGGGGTGTGTGGCAGGGAGGAGGAATATTATTCAGTGGCCCATGCCAGTCTGCATGAAGTGCCAATGATAGATTAGCACAGGACTGCCTTGGCTGCAATGATTCAGTCAAATAATACCCCCTTTTGACTCATGTGGATTATTGGGTGAGATAGAAGAAGGTATCTATTAAACAAATACTACCAAAATAGGAGGGCAGAGTTGGTTAGTTCTCCAGAAGTGTTACAGATTGACTTCAGGCACTCAAAATTATTTTGCATTAGATTTTTACATTCTTAGACAGCAGATTCAGTTTCCCACTGTAATTAAATTAAGATAACCCAACATTTCCCTACACACTTTCACATCACTTTACTGTACAAAAATGTCTCCACAAAACACACATATACACAGTGGACACAATTATGAAGTAAAAAGCCAGGAGGAAAATACCCCTGTAATACAGTCTGCTGCGAATATAGTAATTCGCTATACAATGAATCAAGTTGAAATCTTCATGGAAAACTAGTTGCAAGGGCTTTCAGAGTGCTTTTAGGCAGCTCCAAGTGCACACTATCCAAATAATGCAAAAATCTGTAAAAATAAAACCAGAGTTTGAGTTTAAAAAAAAACTTGCTACAAATACACATTGGATCTATCTAATAGAAGACAAATACAGATTTGTCCAGTATATATTTCAAATTAAGGGTAGTTTAAACAAGCTCTGTTGCAGACAGTACATTACAAGCTCAGAATCAAAGCTTCAGTAAACAGACAGCAAAACTGCAACTCAACTATTCCAAGTGACCCTTGTCATTCCACCATCCTCTGATCTGAACAAAATACTATCATCCCAAGTTAAACTACTGAACTCATGCAGACAGTACAGATCCCTATTGTGGAGTTTCAACAGGGGAGTAGGGGATGTCACGACCAATCATTTTCACAGACACAGACATGGATTTTGGCCAACTCAAGCAAATAGCACAAGAAACTACAGGACAAAGCCATTGGCCGTCAAGGAATGGATAAAAAGCAGAGATGCAACAAAATGACATTCAGAAGGCTCAGAACTGAATCATACATCATAAATTAGTTTAGTAAATGAACCCATGAATTGAGTCTCACCTGCTCTCCAACTGAAATGAGAACATAATTTTAACATTTAACTTCAACTCTTGAGTGGAGATTTTGAAAAGTGCAAATTAATGAAGAGACATTTTTAGTCTTTGGCTTCAGATGAATCTTTGTGAAAACAATCTTTAAACAAAGTTGCATGAAACATACCTGCGTTTTAGTTTGCCTTGTTCTTTCAGTTTCTCTGTCTTACAAATAGTGCGGAGAGATGGCAGATACTCCACAGCGCTTGCTCGTCTGTTACCCAGATTTACAAATGCCTTGCTAGAGAATACAGTTTTGAGCACCTCAATTCTTTTAGATGCAATGCTGGAAAATATAGATATTTCAGTATCTTCTATGTTCAAATTCAAGAAAAAGAATTACTTTATAGTTACCACTGATGTTGCATTTATTTTCTCTTGAATGCGAAGCAATTTTTCAGATTTTGAGCTGATATACATTGAACACACTGGCTTAATATAAATATTGAAGTAATTGGAGGCTTACTCCTGCTGCAAGTACTGGCCACAAGAGTATTAAACATATCAACGTATTATCTGCTGTCACAAAGATCAAATTCAGCTAATATACACATGATTGATAGCAAAACCCCACATTCAGGATGATCAGGCTTTCTTAAATAAAAACTGAAACTGCTCAAAATACTCAGCAGTTTCTGTGGAGAGAGGAACAGAGTTAATGTTGCAAGTCTAACAGGACTTCTTCAGAACAGAAAGTCAAATTAAGCTCGAAACATTAACTGTCTTTTCACTGCCAGAGCTTTCATGTTTTCTGCCTTATTTCAGATTTCCAGCTGTGCAGTGTTTTGCATGTGGACTAGGCTTTCTTTATGAGACTTTCTGAGCACAGGGCTGAAATGGTGGTGGGGGTGATGAACAAAGCAAGTGAGAGAAACAAACAGTACACGTGAGGAAGCAAGACCTATGGTTTTAGAAATAACTACATCAGAAGTTAACATGTCAAGTCACTGGAGAGATGACAATTAGCAAGAGGGTTGAACATGTGTACTGAAACGTCAGCACACCAACAAATACTCACTCTTGAACATTTAGGTACGTGTCTGTAGTGGCTTCACCAAAATTTCAAAGTCCTACTAGTCTTTGAACCAAAAAATCTGAAGATTTAATTGTTACCCAGTACAATTGGTAGATGAAAAATTTTTTTGGTTACTAGACAATGCTAGAGATCTGGTGAGGTGGGTGGGTGAATGGATGGAAGAAAAAGTGACAGCAGGAAACAACTGAATACAGCAGACATGATTTAAAGTAAAATTCCCCACACTTACAAAATGTAAAATAGTTCTCAAAGGAATTCTAGGGCAAAGTGGAGACATTTGATGCCTGCAAATTATCCTGTACTTGTAAAATGTTGCAACTAAAAAAGATGCATAATAACCCAAGCTGGTCAGTAAAGTGTACACATGTTGAGATCATAATCAACAGCAATAGTCAACTGGAGCAGTGGAAGTTCTCAAAGTCACCAAAATAAGATGAATCATGAGCATTTGGTGCCATTAGATAGGGGAAAGGCGTTGGCTCCTCTTTGATTAATGAATTGGTATCTTTTACATTTACATAATCAATGGGTCAGAATGCACTTTGGTTTTAAATCACATCTGGAAGGTAGCTTCAGACAATATGCCATGTGCAGTCATGATCCATTCAAGGCCTAGTTTGGGAGTTAGTCTTTGTCCAAGCTGACCAGGGATAGATTAAAGAAAGGGGAAGAAAAACCCCAAGATCAAAGTCTTAACCTAGCAAGAGATGTGAGGTAACACAGAAAGGTTAATGCAATGGCAAAAACAGGAGGATTCATCACATGGCTACAGGACATCAAAACAGCTAAAGTAACATGTTGATCAAAATATCTCTCAACACCTGCCTATGTGTAGTCTGTATGAAAAGTCCAACCCAGTCTTTTCTCTGAGGTTGCTCTGGTGCAGCTGGAAGAACTATTTTGAATTTACTTCCTCTATTTCAGGTCCCACTGAAACTGTGGAGATTTGGTTGGTTGCACCTCAAAGATCATCCTTCTGTCAGCGGGAACATTGGTTGGTTTATTCTGCATACTTTCTAAGAATTGCTAGGCCCTCTGTATTCCACTAACTGAATTATATACACTTTACTACAGGACACGACACTGGCTTAGCAGTGAGGATAAAGGTATATAACACACTTGGGCATACAATGTAGACTGATTGCCAATGTGGTACAGAGAGAGTGCCAGTGTCAAATGTTCAGCACTGAGCGAGTGCTGCAGCGCCAGTCAACACTCTGGGAGCACTGCAGTGTCAGACGATCAGCATTTAAGTAGTATTGCAGTGTCAGATGTTCAGCGCTCAGGGAGTGCAGCAGTGTCAGATATTCAGCACTCAGGGAGTACAGCAGTGTCAAGAGGGCCAGTACTGACAGAGTGTTGCACTGTCGGAGGCTCATTATTGAGGAAGTGCCACACTGAGAGATGGTCAGTATTTCACATGAGATATTAAAGTTTTGACGTAATTTAAAAGATGCCACCCCCCCCGACATTATTTGAAGAGGGACAATGGGACTTTTCCTGATATTGTGGCCAATGTTTAACATTCAAGTAACGCTATCAAGTGATGAGGAGGCAATGACCTAGTGGTATTATCCAGAGACCTGGATAACATTCTGGGGACCCGGGTTCGAATCTCGCCAAGGGAGATGGTGGAATTTGAATTCAATAAAATATCTGGAATTAAGAATCTAATGATGACCGTGAATCCATTGTTGATTGCTGGAAAAATCCACCTGGTTCACTAACGTCATTTAGGGAAGGAAACTGCCATCCTTAACTGGTCTGACCTACATGTGACTCCAGACCCAAATTGAACCTTGTATACTTAAAAAAAAAAAATTGGAAACCTTGATATTTTCTGCACCGAACTTCACTTAATGCAGTTCAGCAAAGATTTAAACCATAATAGTGCTAGATTCACATCTGTACTTCCAGCTCTTGGCTTGGTATCATTTAGTCACTTGGCATCCCACATTAGTACTGAGATTACACATTATGAATTACATCAAGACCAGAAGTGCTTTAAAGAAGACTACTAGGGCACTGCACTTTACAGCTCCTCCCCCACCATTTACTTTCTCTTTACCTGGTTAATAACAAGTGTCTTCATTCCATCCCTAAATCAGCATACTGCTTCAACCAACAATCTCAGTCTTTTTTTAAATTCATTCATGGGACAAAAGGCATCACTGACCAGGCAGCATTTATTGCCCATCCCTAATTGCCCAGAGGGCAGTTAAGAGTCAACCACATTGATGTGGGTCTGGAGTCACATGTAGGCCAGACCAGGTAAGGATGGCAGTTTCCTCCTAAATGGACATCAGTGTAGCCAGATGGGTTTTTCTAACAATCAGCAATGATTTCATGTTCATCATTAAACTTTTAATGCCCCAGATTTTTATTGAATTCAAATTCTACCATATGCCATGGCAGGATTCTAACCTGGGCTCCCATGACCCGGGTCACTGGATTAACAGTTCAGCGACAATACTACTAGGCCATTATCTCTCCAGTCTTTCACAGAAAATGGAATTAATAAAATTAAAACTACTGCAGCAGAAACATTGCTTGCACAATTCACAAGTTTTGGAGAAGGCAAACAACAGCTCAATGAAATACAAAAGCCAATGGTTAAATCTCAGCTTGTGACTACAGTATGTTCTATATGTGGACTTTGGAGCTACAGAATTTGCTGTAAATCTTTGCAACTTCCATTTTTTAAAAAAAGAGGAAGGGAGAAACTTGCATGCAAAAAAAGTTTTATGGCCTCAGAACATCAACGACCAAAGTGCTGTTAGGGAAATAAAGCAACCAGTCTGTATGTAGCAAGTTCCCAGCTATAAATTTAAATGATTTTGAATGGGGGGTAAATATTAGTTTCAGGCTTCCAGGCAAAACACATTTACTCTTATTTGAATAAAAACAAAAGAACTTCTAAGGCCACCTGAAATAAATTTAATACCCATTCAAAAAATGATACCCTCTGATCTACAGCTTTCATTCAGTGCTGCACTGGTACCTCTCTGACCTGCAGCTCTCCTTCAGCACTACACAGGAACGTAGCTCAAATTGCATCCACTGTATGCTGGAGTGAGGCTTCAGCCATCTCCTTCTGACACAACCAACAGATTAGATTCAAGATCGACAATTCTGTCACATCCAGTCATGAATGGTGGTGGACAATTAAATGACTCACTGAAGGAGCAAGCCACACAAATCTACCCATCCTCAATCCAACCATAACACCTGTGGCAAACCTCCTGCTTTTGTCTGTCTTATCATCAGTGAAAGTGTGTGTATGCAGGTGGGGTTTTGAAAGAGAGATAGTTTAAGTTAGATAGAAGTAGATTAATACTCCTTTCTTTTCTTTGCCAGTTTTTAATGTTAATGTTTACAATAAACAGTTTTGTTTTGTAAATAACGAAACCTGGTGTGAATTGCTTTTGTCCTGAATGGCAGGCAGAGAGGCAAATCGGTTACCTTGATCATTTAAATGGAATTCTTTGCATTTAGGCATGACTTGTGGGAAAGTATGGCACAGTTACTAGTGCATTCTTCCCAGTTAGGTCATACAGTGACATCAAAGAACCCCAGCAAAACTAGATGGGAACTGGGGGAAACACTGCTGGCATGAGTTATAATTAGCGTACAGAGAGATGGTTGTGATTGTTGGAGGTCAGTGACCTCAGCTCTAGGATACTCTGCAGGAGTTCCTCGGAGTAGTGTCCTAAGCCCAACCATTTTCAGCAGGTTCAATGACTTTCATTCCATTAAAAAGATCAGAAGTTAGATGTTCACTGATGACTGCATGATATATAGCATCATTCACGGCAACTCAAATACTGAAGCAGTTTATATCCATTGGCAGCAAGACCAGGACAATATTCAGGCCTGGGCTGAAAAATGGTAACTGTAATATTTCCACCACACAGTGCTACGTAATGGCCATCTCCAACATAAATTAGGAGTGTGATGGAACACTGGATGAGTGCAGCTCCAACAACACTAAGAAACTTGACACCATCCAGAAGAAAACAGCTCGCTTGATTGCCACCTCATCCACAAACTTCAATATTCACTCCCTTCACGGCAACACAGTGCATACCATCTACAAGATGCACTGCAGAAATTCACCAAAGCTCCACTGGCCTCAACTACTTTCTGTGGCAGAGCTTAGGACACTATTCTGAGGAACTCCTGCAGAGTATCCTAGAGCTGAGGTCACTGACCTCCAACAATTACAACCATCTCTCTCTGTATGCTCATTATAACTCATGCCAGCAGTTTTTGCCCAAGGTTTGCTAGATGGGAATTTAAAATTCTAAATCCATAATCTCTACCACCTGGAAGGACAAAGGTAGCAGAATAAAGGGAAACCTGCCACCTGTAACTTTCCCCTCTACACCGCATACTGTCCTGACCTAGAAACATAGAAAAGAGGAGGAGTATGCCATTTGGGTCTGCTCTGCCATTCAATATGATCATGGCTGATCATCCAAATCAGTATTCTGTTCCTGCTTTCTCCCATACCCTTTGATCCCTTTAGCCCTAAGAACAATATCTACTCCTTTCTGGAATCATTCAATGCTTTGGCTCAACTACTTTCTGTGGCAGAGAATTCACAGGCTCACCACTCTCAGTGAAGAAATTTCTCCTCATTCCTAAACAGCCTACTCTGTATCCTTAGACTATGACTTGGAAATATTTTACTGTTGCTTGGTCAAAAGCCTGGAAACCCCTCCTTAACTACACTGCGGATGTCCCTACAACCCAAGACTGCAATATTTTAAGGAGACAGCTCACCACTACCTTCTTCAGGACAGTCAGAAATAAGTAGTAAATGATGGCCCAATCATTAAAGCATAGGGGAGTGTAATCCCTACTAAGCCAAGCTACCAGTGCAGATTCCCAAACCTCTATATATAGAGTTGTTAAATCACAGAGATAAACAGTCATCTTTCCTTAAATCCCAGAAATGAGGGAGTTGCACAATTTTAAATTGCAGCAGAGTAATCTTGACAAGCTCAACTACACCACCAAAAGATGGTCAGTGACATTGCAACCGCAAGAGATGCAACACCTGCCCCTACATCTCCCCTCTCACCTCCATCCAAGGCCTCAAACAATTTTTCCAGATCTGGCAGAGAGTCACCTGCACTTCATCCAACCTGATCTATTGCATCCATTACTCCTGATGTGGACTCCTCCAAAATCAAGGAGACCAAACGCAGTCTTGGGGACCAGTTTGCGGAGCATCTGTGCTCTGCACACATCAACCAACCCAACCTTCCAGTTGCCATCCATTTTAATTCCCCCTCTCACTCCCTTGATGACATGTCCATCCTCGGCCTCTGCCTCTGTCAGAGTGAGGCCAAACATAAACTGGAGGAACAACACCTGATATTTCGCCTTGGGAGCTTACAGCCCAATGGCCTCAACATTGACTTCACCAGCTTCAAAATCCCTCTACCTCCAGCCTTATCCCATGTCCAGCCCTCCCTCTCCTCCTCGTCGTCTCCCTGATCTGACCTAACCTGTCCATCTTCCTACTCATCTATCCGCTCCACCCTTCCCACTGACCAATCACAATAACCCCCTACCTGCATCCACCTCTCCTACTCTTCGCCAGCCCCCACCCCCCTCCCCCTCCCCAGTCCTGACAAATGGTTTCAGTGCAAAACGTTGACTTTCCTGAACCAGAACGAGGGACAGGGAGAAAGGAAATTGTGTCTTGGGAAATACTTGAGTGAAGGACAGGAGATGGTTAAATGGTAGCAAGAGACAAAAGAAGATATAACCAAAAAAAAAATCAAAGAAATAAAAACATATCAGAGCATGTAGTTGCTCAAGGAGTTGCCTACAAATAGAAGCAGGACGATGAGCTGGGCAGGGCAGCTTCCTGTGACCTCTATCCAATGTCCATGCTCCATCAGATTGTGGCAGCTTCCTGAGTGGTAGATCAATACCTGTTCTCAGTATTAACAACAGGAACAGGTCATGCATGGGACATTGCCAAGCATGCATGCAGCTTTAATCTCAAAGGGATTGCGAAGAGCAACAAGCAGGCCAGGCACAGCAAAGGGGAATTAAAGAGAATGTTGGTGGCAAGTCTTGACCATTGTAAAAGACAGGAAATAAGTTCCAAATTTTCCTTTTCACAATTATACATGGAGGTGGTTTGATGATAATATGTGCAGGGAACTGCAATAGTGTCCTGGTGTAACCCAGTAAATTAAAATTTTAAAACACAAAATGTGGTTATAAGTTTGAAACGTACCTTGCTAGATAATGCGGACATTGTGTGAATAAAGCATTACTGTTTTGGTGATTTGGAATGTGAAGAGTGAGCTTCTCCACTGGGTTTTCCTCAGGCTGCTTGCACTTGGTAACTGCTGACTCCATGGATTGGTGAATCTGCGACTGACACTTCTTCCAGCTCAAGGCTTCCACAGTTGCTCTAATTTCCAAAAAGCTGTGGGTAGACCACCAATCTCCTGACTCAGCCCTTCTCTCATCCAACATGCCGTTTTTAATTTTCGCGGCAGCCCAGTAATAACCACTCTGTCCACACGAACCCTCTGTCTCAACCACACGTGTGTGCAGGCAGCAGTCCAAGAATGAGATATTGTCTGTGAACTCAGCTAGCGATCCAAGACACAAAGATACCAACTCACTACACTTTTGTTCTGCTGATGTCCTTGGCTTCCTTTCAATGACTCTGGAGGAATCAGTCTCTTTCCTGGAGGGACTACCCCCACTCACTCCACTGGCTTGGTTTTCTGCTGCTTTATCAGCAACACAAGGTGAGGTAGGAATATCATTTGGTAAAGTCACAAAGGTATCGCTCTCATCTGTGTCAAATAGATCACTGTCATCAAACAACATGACTTTTCTGTGATGCTTTGTTTTGTCCAAAATTTTTACAGTGCTGGCATCAACAGATATGTCAGCTCCCTGAAGAATTCTTCCAGCTGTCTGTGTGGGTTTACTGATGGAAGGCTCAGTGTGTTCAGATATTAGATTTTCAGGCCTCTTTAAATCAGGAACTATTCGGACTGGCAGAGGCAGAAGAAACTGCAAATTATGGAATACAAAGTCTAGCTGTCTCCTTTGAAACTCCAGGAGGATATGCACTTGACTTCTCCATTGCTCCAGTGAAATGACCTCTTGCTGAAAGGTAAATTACACACAGGTATCAACATTAAACACAGTTACTGGAGCACCTGCTGCAACCCACTCAATGTGTTAGAGCTCCAGAGGAAAGCTATACATGCAGGCTGCTCTCATCACAACTGTGCAAAAGAAAAAAGCCTATCTGGGTTCCCCAGTTAAGGTTTTTTTGTGCCTACTAATAAACTATTTCTTCAGCTACTGTCTGTTGAGAGCGTCACACTTCACTCCCTTGGAGTATTATGTTACAACCTGCAAATGGTCATTATCCACAGTTTAGTTTCATATTTGCACATTTCTAACAGGCCTGTCAGGTCTCTAGATTTTCCATGAGGCATGTTTAGCAATCCAGATTGTTTGGCTCCTACCTTTTGACTGTTTGGATTGAGCCCTATCAGAGCAATCATCTCCTCAACTGATTTTCCAGTTTTATCCTGCCTTTTTATTTCCCTGAAGGCACCAACTCCATTGGGAAACTGGTTCCATGGGTGTCACCCTCCCCACTACTCCCCTGTGATCATATGACATTAGGATATAGCAGCAGAACTAGGCCATTTGGACCATTGTGTGTACTCCAACATTCAATCATGGCTGATATGTTTCTCAACCACATTCTTCTGTCTTCTCCCCGGAACCCTTGATCTCTTTACCAATCAAGAACCTATCTACCTTTGTCTTAAAGACATCCAGTGATTTGGACCACAGCCTTCTGCAACAATGAGTTCCACACATTCATTGCCCTCTGACTGAAGAAATCTTCCTCATCTCAGTTCCAGAAAGTCATTCCTTCACACTGAGGCTGTGCCCTCAGGTACTAGTCTCCCTGACTAGTGGAACCAACTTCTCCACGTCCACTCTATCCAGGCCTCTCAGTATTCTGTAACTTTCGATGGGATCCCACATAACCTTCTAAACTCCATCAAGAATAGACCCAAAGGCCTCAATCACTCCTCACCCTTAATTTGTGGTGAACCTCCTATGGACCCCCTATAAGGCCACCACATCCTTCCAGGTATGGGTCTCAAAATGGCTCACAATATTCCAGATGTGGTCTGACCAGAGCCTTATATACCCTTAGCAGTACATCCCTGCTCCTGTATTCTAGTCCTCTCAAAATGAATGCTAACATTGCATTTGCCTTCCTAACTGCCAATTGAACCTGCATGTTAATCTTAAGAGAATCTTGAAATAGGATTCCCAAGTCCCTTTCTACTTCAGATTTCTGAAGCCATTCCCCATTTAGAAAATAGTCTACACTTCTATTCTTCCTACCAAAGTGTATATAATCTCACACTTTCCCACATTGTATTCCATCTGCCACTTTTTTGCTACTGTCCTAGCCTGTCCAAGTCCTTCTGCAGCTTCCCCACCTCGTCAATACTTGTCCCTCCACCTATGTTTGTGTCTTAAGCAAACGTAGCAACAATGCCCTCTGTTCCTTTGTCCAGATCGTCAATGTGTGGTCTCAAGTCCAGTCGTCACTGGCTGTCATCCTGAAAACAACCACTTTATCCCCACTCTCTGCCTTCTGCTAGTCAGCTAATCCTCCAACCATGTTAATAACTCGCTCTAACACCATGGGGTCTTATCCTACTTAGCAGCCTCCTGCACGGCACCTAGTCAAAGGCCTTCAGGAAATCCAAATAGACCACATCTATTAGCTCTCCTTTGTCTAACTTGTTTGCCACCTCCCCAAAGAATTCTAACAGATTTGTGACGCATGACCTCCCCTTGATGAAGCCATGCTAACCCAGCCCTATTTTACCATGTACTTCTTTCCCTTCCTGCATCTATCTCAAATAAGAAAGTGTCAGTTTGTACTTGACGGCAAGAGCAATTACCTTGAACATGGAAAAGAGATTGCTTGAAGGTCCAGTAAAGTATGTGAAACCAAGCAGGCTCTCTGTGCATCCTGTGCTGCATTTGGGAACATCCTCCATCTTCATAATGGAGCTGCTCTCTGGCAAATCCTCCAGGGCATCTTTGGCAGCAACTGCATTTCCGACCAATTCTTCTTGAGCTGGGCCTGGAGCCATACTTATTCCTTTGGTTTATTAATTAAACAGTAGTGAAGAAGGTAATTTCTTTTCCCCAAAAGTACACTTTTAGTTTTAGAACAAGTTGTACTTTATCATGTGCAAAATACAATACCAATCTTTATAAAGACAGTCATGAGTCAAGTAATAGCAGCTCCCAATGCAACTAGTGAAACTGCAGAGGCTTGATAAACCTTAAATGGGTGTCTCAGTGTATGGTGAATCTTAACTTATAAAACTATGTTTGAACTGCGGAGTGCAATTATAACGAGTTATTTGTCCATGTCAAATTTTAACTTAACATTAGAATATTTCCTTAAAACAGCCATTAATCCAAGAGTGCAACTAAATTTTAAAAGGCTAACAGGGACTGGACTGTCTCCTTTGGCTGGTTAAAACTTTAAATTTGTAAATTCAGTTGTTTGGAAAAACCAGTCCTTAAAAAAGTCAGCATCCAAATGGTGAGAGGTCACCCATACATTGCAGTGGGGAGAAATAAAGAACAAAGGCCTGTTGGATTAACTTGTTATTTCCTGACCATCACTTTAACATCTTTGTAACTGCATCATTTTAATGAAGGAACTCGGAAGCAGAGAGTTGTTTTATGCCTGTAATCTTTAGTGCTAATTTCATCATTAGCTGAAGACTTCCATGCTTAAAATGTCTGGCACAGGTACAAGAATTTCCTGGGCCATCATAACGAAGCAGACTGGAGAAACGTTCAGATGAAAGTAATCTGAAATGTTTGGTTGAGTATTATAAATGCAAGTATCAGTTGTGAAGAACCAGACTGAACATTACACAGAGGTTTCACTCACCTTGAGCAGGGAGAAGCTTATCCACTTGGTAGCCACCTCCACTTCGCACCCAAAACTGCAGGTGAAGGATGCTCTGTCGTATGTCACAGTTATTGAGAGCAAGTAGTGCAGTGAGGTCCTTCACATCAGTCCTTAAGTTCTCAACTAGGCACAAGAGCTGTAAGTAGCTGGCAACATTTGCCTGGTGTAAAAATGTAGAAAATTTGAAGTGCTACACTGGGGTAAGGCCTTTACAACATCCTTATTCTCAAGAATAGATAGAATAGTGCTGCAGAAATTAAAACAGTGCTGCAGAAATTAAAACACTATCAGTCTCAGCCAGCTTGGAGATGATTGGGTAATTCTCCCATTATTCATGCTTGGATACAATGCTGCTATCAGTGACTGGGACTGATTTTACTCAAATTCTTTGTATCATGTTACTATCCTCCACTCCTTGCATTTTCTGTAGAAATAATCTACTTTTATGGGAAGACAATGTTTTTGTTCAAGGTAAGTTCCACATGCATCAGTTCTTGGAGATTCTACTTCAACAGATTGTTGGGAGTCTTGTCACAATACTTTACAGTTTGTATACACAATCTGCAGTTTAAGGGTATTTCATGGGTCCTACTTTTTGAACTGAAAGCTTTCCGACACTTAGACCACTGACTGAAAAGACATGCATCTGCGAGACTGTGCCCTGGCATTAGTCAATGTCCACAGAAGATGGAGAAAAGTGGGAGATGGAATTTTTTAATACCCACAATCAAGTAAAATGATCACTGAATCATAAAATTTTGGCCTGTTAAATCTATGCTTGTTCTCTAAGAGCAGTTCAGCAAGTCCCAGTCCCTCAACTCTTCCTGCAACCCCATTTATTATATTTCTTTATGAAAGTCACAATATACCAATATACCTCCGAAAGCTTGTGATTTCAAATAAACCTACTGGACTATAACCTGTCATGTGACTTCTGACTTTGTCTAGCCCAGTCCTACACCAGCACCTCCATGTCAAGGAAGATTACAGAATATGTGATACAGCAGATTTGGGTCCTGCCAAACATGAATCATAAAAAGTTAGCACACAGCTACAGAAAGTAGTTAGGAATGCAAACAGAGCATTAGAATTATTGTAAGGGAGATGGAGCACTAGAGAAACCTTGCTACAAACGCATTGGGCATCAGTGACACCAAATCTGCAGTACGTGCACAGTGATTTAGATCTCCTATTTTGAGAAGGGATATACTTGTTTTGGAGACAATTCAGAGAAGGTTCATTATTTTGATTCCTGAGTTGAAGCAGTTGTTTTTTTAAGGAAAAGCGGAGCAGAGTAGGTCTATACTCATAGAGTCAGAGTCTGACAGCATGGAGACAGGCCCTTCGGCCCAAACTGACCAAAATATCCATCCACGGTAACCCCATTGCCCTGCACTTGGCCCAAATCCTTCTAAACATTTCCTATCCATGTATTCATCCAAATACCTTTTAAATGTTGGTAATGTACCCATGTGAACCACTTCCACTGACAGCTCATTCCATACGCGTACCACCCTCTGTGTAAAAACGTTGCCCCTCAGATTCCCACGTATCCTTTCCCCGCTTCCCTTCAACTGATGCCCTCGAGTCCTTAATTCCTCAACCTTGGGAAAAAGACTTGAGTGCATTCACCCTATCCATGCCTCTCTTGATCTTATAAACTTCAATAAGATCATCCTACAATCTCATCCACTCTAAAGAAAAAAGTCCTAGCTTGTCCTCAGTCCCTGGAGTCCTGGCAACATCCTTGTAAATCTCCTCTGCACTCTTTCCAGTTTAATAACATCCTTCCTATAGCAAGGTGACCAAAACTGAACACAATACACCAGTGGTGGCCTCACCAATGTCCTGTACAACTGCAACACAACTTCCCAAATTCTATACTCAATGCCCTACCTGATAAAGGCCAGTGTGCCAAAAGCCTTCTTCACTGTCCTGTCTATCTGTGACTCCACTTACAGAGAACTGTGCACCTGGACTCCAAGGTCCCTCTGTTCCACTACACTCCTTAAGGCCCTACCACTCACCATGAAACTCCTACTTTGATTTGATTTTCCAAAATACAACACCTCACACTTTTCTATATTATGTATTTCTATATTATAAACTCTATTTGCCATTTCTTGGCCCACTTCCCCAGCTGATCAAGATTCTGTTGCAATTTCTGGTAACCTTCCTCGGTAGGTCCACGGTACCTCCTATTTTAGTGTCATCCGCAAACTTGGTAATCATGCCTCGCACATTCTCATTCAAATCATTGATATAGATAACAAACAGCAATGGGCCCAGCACCGAACCCTGAGGCACACCATTAGTCACAGGCCTCCAGTCCGACAAGCATCCTTTCACTATTACTCTCTGCTTCCTACCATCAAGCTAATTGTATATCCAATCTGCCAGTTCTCCCTGGATTCCACGTGATCTAACCTTCCAGAGCAGCCTACCATGTGGAACTTTATCAAAGGCCTTACTGAAATTCATATACACTACGTCGACCGCCCTACCCTCATCAACCTTCCTGGACAGTTCATCAAAGAACTCTAACAAATTTGTGAGGCATGATTTCCCATGCACGAAGGCATGCTGACTACTCCTAATCAAACCCGGTCTTTCCAAATGCATATATATCTTATTCCTCAGAATCTGCTCAAGTAACTTACCTACCACAGACCAGCTTACTGGTCTACAATTCCCAGGTTTTACTTTGCAGCCCTTCTTATAGAAGGGCAAAACATTTGCTATCCTTCAGTCTTCTGGGACCTCACCCGTGGCTAACGATGATAAGAATACATAGTTTGGGCCCCCACAATTTCTTCTCTAGCATTTTGCAGGGTTCTTGGATATATCTGGTCAGGATCAGGAGATTTATTCACCTTCATACATTCTAATACTTCCAACACATCCTCTACTGTGATATGAACTGTCCTTAAGATATGGTCACTAACTTCCCCAAGTTCCCGAGTCTTCACGTCTTTCTCCACGGTAAACACAGAGGAGAAATATTCATTGAGGACCTTGCCCATCTCCTGCGGTTCCACACGCACATGTCCACTTTGGTCCTTGAGATGTCCTATTCTCTCTCTAGTTATTCTTTATCCTTTAATATACTTAAAGAACCTCTTCTCAGCCAAAGCTATCTCATGCCCCCTTTCTGCTCTCCTGATTTTTTGCTTCAGTAAACTCCTGTATCCCCTATATACCTCCAAAGATTCCCTTGATCCCAGCTGCCTGTACCTGAGCCATGCCTCCTCCTTTTTTCTGGTCAAAGCCTCAATATCTCTTGTCATCCAGGGTTCCCTATTCCTGCCAACCTTGACCTTCACCCTCACAGGAGCATATAGACCTTGAACTCTAGCTATCAGACTTTTAAAGGCCTCTCACTTGCCAGAAATCTGTTTGCCTGCAAACAAACTACTCCAATCAATTCTTGCAAGCTCCTGTCTAATTCCATCAAAATTTACTGTGCCCCAATTTAGAACTTGAACCTGTGGACCAGTTTTGACCCTCTCCATAATTATTTTAAAATTAATAGAACTATGGTCACTGGTCCCAAAGTTCTCCCCCACTGTCACCTCAGAAACCTGTTCTGCCCTATTTCCCCAAGACTAGGTTGAGTTTTGCCCCTTCTAGAGTAGGACCCTCTATATACTGCTCGAGGAAATTTTCCTCAACTCACTTAACAAATTCCACCCCATCCAAGCCCTTAACACTATGACAGTCCCAGTCTATGTCAGGAAAATTAAAATCCCCCACTATGACAACCCTATTGCTCCTGCAAGTCTCCGCAATCTTCCTCCATATTTGTTCCTCTATGTCCCATTGACTATTTGGGGGCCTACAGTACAACCCCAATAAGTCATCTTCCCCTTTTCTTTCTTAGCTCCAGCCACAAATCCTCACTGGATGATCCCTCAGTTATTTCATCTCTGACTACTGCTGTGATACTCCCCTTAATCAAAAATGCAACTCCCTCTCCCCTCTTTCCTCCACCTCTGTCCCACCTGAAGCACCTGTACCCAGGCACATTCAGCTGCCAGTTTAAACCTTCCCTTCAGCACTAGCCAATCTACCTGCCAGGTTATGGGTCTCTCTCCAGTTCAGGTGTAACCCGTCCCTCTTGAACAGGTCCCCTCTGCTCCAGAAAAGATCCCAATGATCCAGGAATCTGAATCCCTGCTCCCTGCACCAATTCTTTAGCCATGCATTCAACTGCCACATCCTCCTGTTCTTATTCTTCCAAGCTGCTAGTGAGGATGAGAGATGATCTTATTGTATTAAAAGATTCTGAGGGAGCTCAATAGGATAGATATATATTGTTTTGACTATTTCTCAATGCTGTATGTGTATTAACCCCCAGGTCTCGCTTTTTTCTCCATTTCTTTTAGAATTGTATATTTTATGCTATACAGCTTCTCCTAATTTTCATTATGAAAATATATCACTTCACATTGCTCTGCATTAAATTTCATGTCATATTTCATATCAATTTTATGTCAACCAGCTTATGTCCTCTTGAAGTCTATCACAATCCGTCTCACAATTTACAATATCTCCAAGTTTCATGTCATCAACATTTACCTAGTACTCTTCATGTTGTGAAGTGGTACCAAAGTATTTTAAAGCCAATTCATTACTTTTCAAAGTATATTTATTGTCATATTAAAAAATGGCACTCAAGTTGTACAAGGTTAGATTTCACAAGCAGCAACGAACTAACAACCAGATAATCTGTTTTGTTCTGTGTTGGTTGGGAGATAGGAATCGACCAGGGACACTTAAGAAGTCAGTTCACTCAAGCTTTGTCGTTACAAAAAAATAGAAACTTACCAAAGATGGCACTTTGAAGCAGATTTCTTCGAAGCAGCACTCAAATGTTAAACTGAAGTTAGGATCTAAGGATCAAAAACAAACACAAGGGCTGACCATTCAAAGTTTAAAATTTACAAATGCAATATTTCAGCAGTTGGAGGTGCTCACACACAGAAGGCACCAACCATAATACTGATTGGGTATAGGTCATATATGACAGCAGACGAACCAGGTACAGATGCTAAAATGTGACACTGGGAGACCATCAAGACCATAATTTTAAAAAGTAAAACAGCCCATTTTAGCATAACTACAAGACTGTATTTTGGTAAAACACGGGCAAATGTTCACAAAATTCCATGGAGACTCCACATCTCACATTGAGACGAATATATTAGATGTTTGATGGGCTATTTTCACTCTGATTACTCACCACCATGTTGACCAGGGTTCAGAATTAGTTCTAGCCCTGGCTCAGTACCAATGTAAATTACAATTCCCTCTGTCTCACATTAATCCCATATAATTTATATAGTATGGGAACTTCAACACTCTCCTGAACAGACAGGGACAGGACACTTCATCCAAAAGATGGCAAAGCACCACTGACAACCCCGCACACCCGCCGTCTCCAGTAGATCATAGTTTCTTTGATGTCCGTGTTTCATCTACTCTCATAAAGCCCCTCACTGATTGGAGTACTTCTATCAAACCTTCCCTAAACCTTTTCTACCTTCCCAGTTTCTCTAATTTCTCCACAGAGCTAAAACTCTTCAACCCTGTAGCCATGATGGTGAATCTCTTCTAAACCCTTTCCAAGATTTCAACATCCTTCCAGTGGTGTGGTGCTCAGAATTGGCCTTGATATTCCTGCAGGAGACAACCAATGATTTATGAAGAATTTAGCATCAACTTCCTCGCTTTTGAACACCATGATTTGCCACAATTAATAAAATCAAAAATCCCACCATCATAACATTTTCATATATTTTAAACTAGATTTCATCTTAGATCTTCAAATCTAAATGTGGAGTTAAAAAAAATAGCCTTTCCGTTTCAAGCAAAGGGATGTCAGTAACTAGTGTCTGTATGATGAGATGGAAGAATACAAAGCAACTAGTTCTTGCAGGCAGAAACATAGAAATTATATGTTAGTGCTATCTGATTGTTAATCACCCAGTATGAAGAAATTAAGCTGTTTCACCCAAGATTTAAACAGAATGCATCATTTCTTAAAAAATGCCTGATACTTACCAGTGGTGGTGAGTATAACTGGCCGCTTTGCAGTTGCCATGAAGGTCTTAATTGCATTTAGAAATCCAGCATCGTCATCAAATATTACATCCACCTGTTCGTAAAAGGGAGAAGCAGCAGCATGAGCATCACAAAGTTATAAATGGAATGGAGTGTGGCAATACCTAGAGAGTAGAAATTTGACATTGCAATGTCTCACCCTAGGAAAAGACATTTTCATTAGGAAATCCTAGCTTGTACCATAGTTGGAAGCTTACAGGGAGTTTGCACATATGTGTACCTAAGAACACACGTACACATGTAGCCACATGTGCACATACACAGAATCATTACAGTGAAGATAGAAGCCACTTACTCCATCGTGTCTGCGACAACTCTCCAAATAATCAATTCACCTACGTCCAGTTCCATTTAAACTAGGAATATGTAAGTTTTCCCTCTTTGCATCCCACTTAGGTGCATTACCCAAAAAAAGCTACATGTAAAGTCTGAATCTATTCTCTCATTCACCTGCATGGATTTCAAGCAGCAGATACCAACAGATTATGGTGTTTTGATTTGGGATGTTTCCAGTGGTACAAGAGTTGAGAACAGGCCATCTGAAGCTCAGAACTGAAACAGGACAAAGCAATGTGTAGATGGAAAACACGAAGAGGCTGGTCAGCCACTCAAGCAGGTCACAGCTGATCGGTATATTGATCAACCCACTTTAATCTGAGATTTTAAATGGAGTGTGCTCCTAACAAAGGAGCTACAGTAACACCAATACAAACTGCCATCTTGATCCATCTGCACACTCAGATGCATCTGCGACACAGTTGTAACAACAAGAAACAGGAGTAGAATAGCGACAGACATCTTAGATGCAAAATAGTTATTTTTGTAATGCATTCTGTAAGGTGATGAATACATGGTTAATTATATATTTCTTCTGCCCTGAAATTCAATGGGGCTGCATTTTTAATACTTGGTGGAAGCCTTTGTTACTGGTTAGTAGCCATCATGGCTTGTACCGAACAGACCTTTATGATCTCATCAGGAATAAAGGGTTATTCCTGTTGATTGGATTCCATATAATAATGGAAAGCATTATATCTATTTGTATATCAAACCTGGGATTAAGTGATTTGTTTATAGGGTGAATTCATAATGGACAAAGAGATAACAGACCAATTGAACAAATACTTTGGATCTGTCTTCACTAAGGTGGACACAAATAACCTTCTGGAAATGCTAGGGGACAGACAGTCAAGCATGAAGGAGGAACTAAAGGAAATCCTTATTAGTCAGGAAATGGTATTGGGGAAATTGATGGGATTAAAACTAATAACTCCTCAACCCCCACCCCCACCTCCTACCTACCAGACTCATACCCGCTTTCTTGACCTGTCCGTCTTCCCTAGACTGATCAACCCCCACCCTAATTCCCCACCTACACTCACCTTTAATGGCTCCATCCCTGCCTCCTTGACCTGTCCGTCTCCTCTCCACCTACCTGCTCCTTTATCCATCTTCCATCCGCCTCCCCTCCTCTCTCTATTTATTTCAGAATCCCCTTCCTCTCCCCCATTTCTGTAGAAGGGTCCAGACCCGAAATGTCAGCTTTCCTGCTCCTCTGATGCTGCTTGGCCTGCTGTGTTCATCCAGCTCTACACCTTGTTATCTCAGATTCTCCAGCATCGGCAGTTCCTATCATCTCCAGAGCCTGGTACACTGCATCCCAAAGTACTTAAGGAAGTGGCCCTAGAAATAGGGGACACGTTGGTGATCATTTTCCAGCATCTATCGACTCTGGAAGAGTTCCAATGTTTTGAGGGGTAGCTGACGTAATCCTAGTTTTTAAAAAATGAGGGAGAGAAAATAGAGAATTAATAGGCCAATTAGCCGGACATTGGTGGTGGGGAAAATGCTGCAGTCAATTATTAAAGATGTAATAAACAAGGATTTGGAAAGCAGTGACAGAATCAGTCCAAGTCAGCATGTATTCGCTAAAGGGAAATCATGCTTGACAAATCTTCTGGAATTTTTTGAGGATGTGACCAGTGGAGTGGACAAGGGTAAATTAGTGGATGTTGTGTATCTGGACTTTCAGAAGGTTTTTGACAAGGTACCACACAATAGATTAGTAAGCAAAATGAAAGCTCATGGTTTCAGAGGTAATGTATTGACTTGGATAGAGAACTGGTTGGCAGACAGGAAGCAGAGTGTTAGAATAAACGGGTTCTTTTCAGAGCGGCAGGCAGTGACGTGTGGGGTACCACAGGGTTCAGTGCTGGCACCCCAACTGTTTACAATATATATTAAGAATTTGGACAAAGAAACTGAATGCAATATCTGACAACACTAAGCTGGACGGCAGTGTATGCTGTGAGGAGGATGCTAATAGGCGGCAGGATGACTTGGACAGGCTGGCTGAGTGGGCAAGTACTTGGCAAATGCAATATAATGTGGATAAATGTGAGATTATCCACTTTGGTGTCAAAAACAGGAAGGCAGATTATTATCTGAAAGGTGGCAGTCTAGGAAAAGTGAGGTTCAACGAGACCTGGGTGTCATGGCGGAACTGTCGCGCAGATGCAGCCGCAGTGAAGAAAGCTAATGGCATGCTGGTCTTCATAGCAGGAGAATTTGAGTATAGGAGTAGGGATGTCTTGCTGCAGTTATACAGGGCCTTGGTGAGGCCACACCTTGAGCATTGTACGCAGTTTTGGTCTCCTGGTCTAAGGAAGGATATTCCTGCTATTGAGGGGAGTCCAGCGAAGGTACACCAGACTGATTCTCAGGAAGGCAGGACTGACACATGAAGAAAGATTGGATCAATTGGGCTTGTACTCACTGGCATTTAGAAGAATTGGGGGTGGGAGGTGGGGTGGAATCTGATAGAAACATAGAGATGAGGAAGAATTTTTTTCACTCAGGGTTGTGAACCTACGGAATTCTCTGCCACAGGAAGCTGTTGGAGCCAGTTCATTAGATATATTCAAGAGGAAGCTAAACTAGGGTATCAAGGGGTATGGAGACAAAGTGGAAATGGGATACTGAAATTGCATGATCAGCCATGATCATATTGAATGATGGTGCAAGCTGCGCCCATTTCCTGTGTTTCTATGTTTGATAAATGGTACTTTACTGCTGGATACAAATTTAAAAGCAACATTCCAATTTTATGCATTCATGCGCAATGTTCCATGATGGCGAAGATCACAAATATTGCCCATTCTCAATCCTGGTTTTGAAATTTTGAGTTGATCTCAACAGTTATTTGGGGGGAAAGAAACAGTATCCTAGATTTCTCTATTTGAAGGAGTGTCCCAGTATCAGCCTTGTGTGGTTTAACTTGAATTTTAACGTAATGCCTACTCTTTCAGACCTGTGATCACTGCTGCTGTTTGGACATCTTCTTTCAGGTCTTTAAAACATTTAGTTCTACGGAGTGTAATTTGATTTCCTACATGTACACGGGAAAATTGCCAAGAGAATAATATCTTGTTAGTTAATTTTATCCATTCTTTTAATCATTTTCATTGTTGTAAAGAATTTAGCAAAAGCTAGCAATGGAATACAAACTGGATTGGAATGACAATCTTACAATTGTTATGGATAACAAAAGAAGTTTATTTCTCACATCTGCTTTATTAAATATTCACTATGCAGTGGAACACAATTCATGAAAGAACACTTCCATTACACCAAACAGTTTAATAATCTGGGTATTGCAACTACTTGCAAGAGCAAGACTGTTCTTTAAAAGTGATGGTTCCATTATTCATAGAAGTGCTACTGCTAAGGGGTCAGTGAACTACTAAAAAGTGGAGAAGTTTTGACCATGACAAATATTAGAAAGTGAGGAGGACTTAGTCATACCCAACGAACCAAAATGTTTGATTCCTAGCACATGATGAGGTGAGCAGGACATCTGAATTCATTACTGAATGAGTTACTAGAGGACCCTAAAGTCAAAACAAAAATACTTGTTTTTAAGTAAAAAGCTCAACTCTTATTTATGTAACACTTTTATTGCAGCAAAGCACCTTTATGTACTTCATAGGACAGTTACTAAGCATAATATGACTGAGTCATGAAAGGAAATATTAGTGTAAATAGCCAAAAGTTTGCTGCAAAAGATAAAAGGCAGAGAAGTTAGGGAGGAAATTCCAAATCAAGACAATTGAACACATCAAAAACATCATCTTTAACTAAGTAGTATAACATTAAATCAAAAATTTCAAATTTCTGCAATTTATTTAAACGACCTACAGGACTTATTGTGACTGGAGATTTTATTTCCGTTTGTTTTATTCTTTTATCAGTTATTCAGTCAACAAAGATTGGCTGCAGTATGAGTTAGCAAGCATACCTCCTCAAAAAGGATGAGTGATGTGGCACTTTTTTTGCTAGATTCTTCAGGGCCAGTTTCCTTGTTTTCAGACAAGGAGTCGTCCCTAGTTACATCCACAATTTGAAGGCTGCTCTTCTGGGCCTTAGAATTCTTCCGTGGCTTCTCTAATGTTAGATGAGAGAAACATCAACAACTTTCCTCCAATTCTTAATTTAACTAACAAGTGTAGCTGGAAATTTAGCCAATTTCTTTTATGCACAATTCTCAAAGTCTAATGCCAGCCTTTGAACAGGTCAAGCAACACTACTCAATGTGCAAGTGTGCTTTCAGTTAGCAATGTCTGTCATTTTTACAAAGGCAACTGCTTTTGTCTGCATAAAGCACCTTTATAGTAAAAGATTTCAATGTGCTTCACTGGAGTGTTTGCAACCACAATGTCCAATAGATCCAGACAGGGTAAGGCAATTTGCCCACAGGAAGTTGGAAAGGGTGGGACTCTGGAATCCTGCAGTACCTACAAAAATTTCAACTGAGGTCACACTGCACAGCATCACCATTCAGCACTTAAGTGCCGGCAGAATTCAGAAGAGACTGAAAGGAATCACAGGAGAGAATTTTATTCCTACCCTTCATCTCCTTATCTTCAAGATTTCCTGCTTCTTCAGTTTTGTTCTGTTTTGAGAGGCCTTTAAAGAAACTGGCTAAAGAATTCGGTGTTAAGTTCTTCTTTGAAATCCTTCCCTTTGGGGATTGGGGTGCCCTCCTGGGCGATGAGACTACTTTTTTGGGCGAGTGAGCTTTTTCTGCGGAAACAAATCATTTTGACAGGCAAAATAAACTATTCATCTTGCTCCCATAAATAGACCCAATGCAGTTGCAATTCATCTGAAGAATGGCAGAAGGTGACTTGTACACAAACAAAGTATAGTTTCTCATACCAACTTTGTTATGATATCCTGTTGTGAACTCAAGAAATTCTCGGATCTGCTACATCTGACAAAACATAGCCTGGTTAGAATCATATCTATCAGTACATATAACAGACAGGATCTGTAATTGAGGAGTTGATGGCACAGGCACAAGGGGTTGAATCACAGAACCTTAAAACTGCTTGTCAGCCAATAGAATGAATAAACTGACCTGAGGGAAGTGTCCACTGGTGATGCAATTTTTTTGCAGAGCTACAGAATCATGCAGTAGAGGAGGAAGCCATGTGGTCCATTGCACCTGTGCTGCCTCTTTAAAAATGTTATCTAATTAGTCCCACTCCTTTCCTTTTTTCCCCTAGACCCCTACAATACATTCCCTCCTCAAATATTTACACAAGTCCCTTCTGAAGATACTACTGAATCTGTCCAAGAAGCCGAATGCATTCAAGATCATAACTTTGTTTAAATTTCATAATATTTGTACAAAATAGAGGATGTGTTGCCAGTGAAGGATTTTGTATTGTAAATACGGCATCTTTTTTATTTTTCTGTATTTTGATATTGAACTGAAATGGTAAAAAGACAGCTTTAAAACCATGGATTGTGCAAAGTATTACTGCATTACTTAAAAGCAAATTACCTGTTACCCATTATAAGAGCAGTTCACAATGTGCTTTCTTTAAACAATGGGGATGGAGCCAAATGACGTGTACGAATGAGGATTTGGCTGGAAACAAGTACAGGGGTTCTCCTATAACGTGTGTTCTGGCAATACGAATTGGCTACAATGCAATTGATGAAGAGGGGAACGGTATTTGTAAAATGCGGACTTTGTGTTGGCTATAACGCGATCCCCACAATGTTTAGCATTACAAAACTGCGTCAATAAAGTGGAAACACAACTGTGCGAGAATATAAGAACATAATGTTATATAACATATTATTTTGAAAAGTTACATCAAGATCATTGCACATGAGTCTGGATAATTTGTCTGTCATGTAACAAATTTTGAACTTTCAAATTTACAGTCGATTGGAATGCCAGTCAGATTGGTAAAAATAATAGAATTAAGCCTCAATTTAAATTAGGGAAGAGGTTTCTCAAAGAACAATCACGAGAAAATAGCTTGAGAAAATAAATGATCGTCAATGTCCAGTCGATGAGGGATGGCGACAGGCTCATATTGTTAGTGACAACATAGTGCAACTGCACATTGGGTAGTTTTGCTGGGGACTGGGAGATGCTGCCGGTGAGCGGGTGATGCGATTGTCAGCGACTAAATGTTGTTAATATTTCTGACATGTAAATGGTCTTACCCATGAATGCATTTAGTTGTTGGCATCTGGGTGATGCTGTTGGTAAGTGGCTTGATATTGTTTCTAATTGGGCTTTGCTGTTGCTGGTGTTTGTAAAGTTGATAATTGGGATTTTCTCCAATGACTAGGTGATGCTGCTGGAAATTAGATAATTATTCTCAGTGACTGGTTTTTGCTGCTGGGGTTTGATGCTGCTGAATTGAGCTGGTGTTGAGCACTGGTTGATACTATTCCCGGAAATGCTGGATACTGTTGGTGTCCTTGTACTTCTGTTGGAAGCTGGATGCTGTTGGTGACCATAGGTTTTATTTTGCTGTCAAAAGGATGCTGTCTGTGGTAGTTCAGACTTAATGCTGATGGGTGATTAACACTGCTGGTGGTGTCAGAAAGTGGCTGAGGGCTTGCTATACGTGATCGTGACGGGGTGTGATGAAGTTTGGGTGTGAATGTACAATGTGTTTTTGGTGCTTGACAGGCAAATCTACAGCTGCGGTGATGAAGAATCTGTAAATCTGCTCATTACTGTCTGCTTCTGCAAACCATGATGATTTTAGCTGTAAACTGAACTCTGGCGCTTTATTGATTGCCTCACTTCCATTGAATTAATAATGCTACTTGTGATTGGATGATGCCAGTGCTGAAGACTGAATGAAACTAATGCTGATGAATGGCACCAATACTTACAGGAGAGTGGAGAGGAAGGATTTTGAGTGATATTTTTTGGTCTGCCCCTAACCCTGCTCTTCCCATAGGCCCTGTTATTTATATAGCATGATTTTTTTACAACGTGATGTTGTGCTGAAATGCAACTATTGTGTTATAGCAGAATCCCCTGTAGCTGACTGGGTCACATTCCCCGACCACTGTCAATGATAAAGGCTTTCTGCCTGCCAAAAACTATGCGGTTGTTCAGCTACCGAGGAAACAATGTGTAAGTGTGAATGTTTGGGGATGAAACCATCAGCTCTCTGGAAAGGAAGGACTTGTTCTCGTTCCCAGTAAAAACACCTCAAGCCTTAATACAAGAAGTTTATTTCCCCTCATCAGCTGTTATGAGCTGTGGCTCTTAACCAGGAACTCAGATACAATGTGAATTAGATGCTCTGTGCCTCCTGCAAGCAAGTGAAAGCATCTGGAGGAGGAAGATCGAGAAGTAGCAAGTCCTGACAAGCCAATAGGATCACCTCAGCAAACGCTCTGGACAGAAGCCATTGAACTGCTTTCCCACACTTTCCCTCCACCCATGACACCCATGTTTTGTATATCTGCCTGTATGTGTAGGATTAATTTTATAAAGAAATTAAAGTTTAAACTAGTAGAGTTATACGTCAACAGTTCATAATTGTGCACCTGGAGCTAAAATCTATTTATTTGTAATAAGTAATAATTCACGTTAAGTATAGAAACCTGGAACATATTGTCAACCTGGGTCAAAAAGTCAAGTAAATTGGGGAATCTCTTGTACTTTTGTAAAATAGAGTCACAGTCATACAGCATGGAAACAGACCCTTCAGTCCAACTCATCTATGCTGACCAGGTATCCTAAACTGAACTGGTCCCATTTGCCTGTGTTTGATCCATATTCCTTTAAACTCTTTCTATTCATGTATCTGTCCAAATGTCTTTTAAATGTTGTAACTGTACCTGCCGCTACCACTTCGTCTGGCAGCTCATTCCTTCCACACACCACCCTCTGTGCGAAAAAGTTGTCCCTCAAGTTCCTTTTTAGATCTTCTCCCTCTCACCTTAAACCTATGCCCTCTACCTTTGGACTTAACCTTGGAAAAAGATCATGGCTATTCACCTTACATATGCCTCACATGATTTTATAAACCTCTATAACATCACCCGTCGGCCTCCGACACTCCAGGAGAAAATGTCCGAGCCTATCCCGCCTCTCTTCATAACTCAAACTCTCCAGTCCCGGCAACATACTCGTAAATCTTTTCTGTACGCTTTCCAGTTTAACGACATCCCTCCACAGCAGGACAACCAAAATTGTACACAGTTTTCTAAAAGAGGCCTCCCCAATGTTTAATCTTTGTGATGATTCCAAGAATAGCAGGGCTTGATTTCCAATACACTACCCCAGTGAGGCACAATGATACTTACTTGGAGATTTGGTTGTTTGTGAAGACTGAAACCTGTTGCTGTTGAAGAAGGCAGGCTTTAGGGCATTTGTTCCCTGTTTATCAACTTGGTGAGACTGCGTGGCTTCTTTTAGTTGAGACAGAATCTGTCTGCCACTTCGCTGAGATGAAGCATTTACTTCAAATACCTGTAAACAGAAATATTCATATAAAGCACATATGGCATTAAACAGTGTTGCTTATACAAACATTAATAGGATGATTCAGGTACTCAACTGAGCAAAATATTGCTTTATTCATGTAGTAACCATTGAGATCAGCTTCAGCGAGATCTCATCCTTCTGAGCACTAACCCTATTGATTGATTGAAAAGCATGATTCAATTGCTGACTCCATGTTAGGGGTCTTTGCTAATTTTACCTATTTGAATTTTGTGGAGGTATGGATCAGGCTGAGTGCTGGCGACATTATAATACCAAGATATCAGATATATGTAAATGATTTGGAAGCAAGAATATTAACCATTACATTTCCTGGAGGGCATTATGAACTTTAAACTTCATGTTGTACATCATTTGAGCATGCTCACTATGCAGGCTATTACAGTCTTAACACTATAAAAACAGCTTGCTCTGAAGGCAGATGGTTATTCACCAAAACCCACAAGAGTTGACCACATGGAAACTGGGCAAGTGTAACTGGTGCTATCTATTTGCTGGAAAATTTCATTGTTTTCATACCAATCAGTTATAGTTCCAACAATATAATTGGTTTGATGACTGCAATGTACTGTGCCCTGGAAACATTAAGTGTACATTAGATAACACCAGACACATTGCCAAACCATACACCTTCTGGTTCACTTTTGATGTTAAATACTGACACCAACATAATGGAGGGAGAAGTGGAGCTAAGTCAATAACAAGAAACAGCAGTAGTAGAAACATTTAAGAAAATGTAACTCCACATCAATTAAAATAATATTTCAGGTTTTACTGGTTGGACTAAATTAAATTTCATCATTTGACATTTATTTTTCTGCCATACCCGCAATTAATCAATTTCTTCTGTGCAGAATTACAAGTTAATACAGAATTTTAAAAACCTGCCATAATATTCACAGCTACGGGTCTGGCTGGAAGGTGTGACTGGTACAGATTTCATGTAGCTTGGGCAGTATAGGCTTGATGGGCCAAAAAGCCTCTTATGTACTGTATAATTTCATATACCTTGATTGCTAAACAGTACAGATTTGAAACATCAAATATCTTACTGTAATAATGGTCAGGTTTGGGAGCGGGGAGGGGAGGGCTATAAATGGACTCAGTGCCTCTGCGGCAGGGAGAAGATAATCAGCCAGAGTGCCAAATGTTGATGGCTACTCAGTGAAGCCTGCCCACAGGAGAAAATACATGCAGATACCAACTGAGATTTAAATGAGGCCAAGTTCTGTGCCATCATAAAAGAAAACTGGAGATAAACAAAATAAAGTAATAACATCTCAAATAAGTAGGAAACAACAGCTCCACACATCAGACCCAAACTACGAAAGGGACTGAGATAACAAGGTGTAG